ACACCAGAGGGTTTCGTTAATATTATTCTAATGCTAATGCTCCTAGGTCCATTCGTGATTTTTACTCGTGGCCATGAACCCAGACGAGTCGCTTCGTGCAAGGGAGGAGCCACCCCCATCATATGAAGACGCACTACAAGACGAACACGTTACACGAACACGTATGATTTACAAGTAACTAAAACTTTCCTCGCTAGCTAAGCGAATACTAATACCTAGCTTGTGTCTTCGCAANAGCAGTGGGTTTTCAAACGAGTGAGTTTCTGGTCGGCAAATGGGTCTGAAAAGAGAGCCACTCATTGTTATTCGAATTTCCTCTCCACGAATAATCTGTACTCTGATTGTTCAGAAATGACTGGCAAATTGTAAATGTGTTACCAATAGTTCTCAAAAAGTGGCCTCTTTACGATGCTTTCGGCATCGAAATTGGTCCAAGAAACTGTTCTGTTCCTAATTGTTCTGAAGTGGGAAAGAGGGGCATGCCCCAAAATAAAAATAAGTGCTATAGAAATAGAAACACTTGTTTCTCCCCCATCTTACAATAAGGTGTTTTATGAGTACCTACACCAGAAGAGGGTCTCGTTTATATTATTCTAATGCTAATGCTCCTAGGTCCATTCGTGATTTTTACTCGTGGCCATGAACGCAGACGAGTCGCTTCGTGCAAGGGAGGAGCCACCCCCATCATATGAAGACGCACTACAAGACGAACACGTATGATCTACAACTAACTAAAACTTTCCTCGCTAGCTAAGCGAATACTAATACATAGCTCGTGTCTTCGCAATAGTGAAGATCTAAACTTGCCAAACTGCCGAACAGCGGCTGCCCAGCGTGGTTTCCTTTATAAAGCAGCAAAAGCGTGGAATAGCCTCAGTAACAACACTAGAACAGCTCAATCACTAAGATCATTTAAAAAGCTTGCAAACCCAGAATTAGTGAAGAAATAGGGTACTGGTATCTTAATATATAACTATAGAATATTTCATAGTGTTAGTTGTTATGATTGTTATTTTTAGTAGTAGTAGTTTTAAGTTATTTCTATATCAAGTACATGTAATTTGTTGTATTTATACCATTAGTTTTATTTTAGTAAAAGTTGATTTCAGAAATAAATATATGGCGGCACTCTAAGAGGCTGAACTGCGTATTTACAAAAATTTTAACAGAATATCTAATAGTATGACTAATGTAAGAATAATACGAGGCCTAAAAGTGAAATTGATTACTGTAAAATGATGAAACCTATTATCAAGATTAATAAAGCTATAATTATATAATATCATGCTCCATACAAGATTTTATTAAAAATGTGTCCCTGAACCTATTTGTTTTCCACCTTGGTGTTTCAAAACGCCTGTATCGTCTTAGATGGTAAGACGTTTTATTGGCTGAGGTTAAAATATTTCTTAACCGGTTACTCTTATCATTTAAAATAGAATTAAAGGTCTTCTTACAAATATGTTCATTGTAACGTTTAATGCTTGGTAGTTTAGTGTTGACTAAAGCATCGCTGTAGTCTATCCCTGGGAAAATAATAGCTAGCGCCCTTTTCTGGACACGCTCCAGTTCCGTCTTGAGATACAATGGCAGCGAGTAATAGAACGCCGGTACCACATAACTAAGTACAGATCGAATGGAAGTGCAATAGAGTAAGACTAATTAACTTGTCGGGAGTCTCGCCCTCTTAAGGTGCACCAGAAAATACAAACGTTTAGAGGCCTTGTTTATAACCTCACTAACATGTTCGTTCCATGACAGGTCATCACTTATGGATCAGAGTAGCTTATCTTCGCTCCCACTGGAGAGCATCAAGTTCTCCCGATGGATCTCCACCGGAGTTAGATCTCTAATAATGCATCTATAACAATGATAATAATAATGATGGTAAAAGGCGCACGGTTTTTTCAAGAAAATCTCCGGATGGAAAGTTAGAGCTCAAATTGGTGTGTGTATTACAGCCATGTATCTTTGGGAAACTAAATCGTAAGATCACGATTTAAGGGAAACTTACAGTTAAAAAGACGAGAAAAGGACACCAATTGCTGACCATTGATTTTTTTAGATCTGGTGTTTCTGAAAAGAGTCGGGGTAGCTCTGAAAAGAGCCGCCGTGGTGGCTCTTAAAGAATTATTAGGTAAGGATTCAATCTCTCCGCCGCGGGAATTATCAGCCGACATACCAGCCACCCGAAGTGGTTTATTTACTAAATATCGCGATCATCGCAATATATCGGCAATATATCGCAGTGCTATTGTTTTAACAAATGCGTGATATTGCTGATCTATCGTGGAGCTCCCTGGGAGTTATCTTTTTCTCTGAGCGACATATCGTTTGAACTCAAATGTATCGTTTGAGCTCAGCGATATATATCCGCAGTTCAACGATATATCGTTTTAGCCTTCCTGATATATCGTCTTATATCCAACGAGATATCGTTGCCGGCTAACTATATCTCGCTTATATTGATATCGTTAACGATATAGAGTTTTGCAGACTTTACGGTCTCCACACCTTTCCCATCAACTGTAATTGGAGGAAACTCATGCTTTTGTTTACTGAAAGTAATTCGAAGCACTTTACATTTATCATTGTTCAGTTGTACTCTATTTTTAGAGGACCATTCCATTGTAAAGTCAGCTATCCTTTGCGAGATACTTGCCTTTCTCTTAATGACAACTTCTGAGGTCGTAGTGCCATCCACATATTTCCACATTTCAGCATTTATGCCACTACTTACTTCAACATCATTAATAAGCACAAGAAATAACCACGGCCCTAGCTTTGTTCCTTGTGGGACGCCGAACGGAACTGACTCCCACTCGGAAAAACAACCCTTTGCAAGTTTAATTCGCTGAAAACGGCCCGATTAAAAAAAAAAAAAATTATGATCCAATTAAATATCTGTTTGGGTATCTCCGAAACGGTCAGCTTCCTAACTAAAATGTCATGAGCTATAAGATCAAAATCCTTCTTATAATCGTATAGTGTGGCTCTCACGGTGGCGCCGTTTCCGTCAATCGCTTGTGCCCATCGGTGAATCATGTGAATCAGAGCTTGGGTTGTAGAGGAGTTCGGCACAACCCCATACTGGTTTGGATCCAAAACTCTAAAGACGGCTGGTTTGACGTAATCACTTACAACACGTTGGAGTGTTCTAAACTCTCAGTCGGCTCTTGATTTGATTTAACATCCCTCCCACTGGAGAGCATCAAGTTCTCCCGATGGATCTCCACCGGAGTTAGATCTCTGATAATGCATCTATAATAATGATAATAATAATGATGATAAAAGGCGCACGGTTTTTTCAAGAAAATCTCCGGATGGAAAATTAGAGCTCAAATTGGTGTGTGTATTACAGCCATGTATCTTTGGGAAACTAAATCGTAAGATCACGATTTAAGGGAAACTTACTGTTAAAAAGATAAATAAAGGACACCAATTGCTGACCATTGATTTTTTTAGATCTGGTGGCTCTGAAAAGAATCGGGGTAGCTCTGAAAAGAGCCGCAGTGGTAGCTCTTAAAGAATTATTAGGTAAGGACTCAATCTCTCCGCCGCGGGAATTATCAGCCGACATACCAGCCACCCGAAGTGGTTTATTTACTAAATATCGCGATCATCGCAATATATCGGAAATATATCGCAGCGGTCTTGTTTTAACAAATGCGTGATATTGCTGATCTATCGTGGAGCTCCCTGGGAGTTATCTTTTTCTCTGAGCGACATATCGTTTGAACTCAGCGATATATCACCGCAGTTCAACGATATATCGTTTTAGCCTTCCTGATATATCGTCTTACATCCAACGAGATATCGTTGCCGCCTAACTATATCTCGCTTATATTGATATCGTTAGCGATATATCGTTTGCGTTGGCGAGTTATTGCCACCGCTAAGGATTGGATCGGTGGGAAAACATTGCTCCGCTCGGCGAATTTTTCTTCAGACTGATACTGTCTGGGTATGCAGTAGAGAAAACCTATTAAATGATTTTATTCGAAGTCTTTTTCATCAGCATAAAATGGGGATTATGATGAATCTAAGCCACTTCCACTTCCTAATGAGTCGACTCTGGTCGAAGTTCGCGCTCCCTGCACAACAGTTCATTAAACAAGCACGCTACTACACAAACAAAAAAAAAATGTATGCGAAAGACCATATTTATGCCAATGCTTCCGAACAAACGAAATAGCGAGAGCGAGAAAAAGACAGCTTGTGAAAACGGTACTCAAGAAGGGTGCAAACCTCACTCATTAAGGGCGTTGCGTTGTATTATTTTTTTCCATGGTAACCAACCTCTATTTGCATACAATATACTCGCAGGACACTAACGTTAACAATCAGATTTTGCATAACCACGCCAAAGGCTCCTTCATATGCGAGAAAACGAATTGCTTGTCTCCATAGGGAAGGATTATATCCCGTTGAAATATTGAAAGTCTTGAGTCGCGAAAATCTTCAAGGAAGCCTAGCAAGTTTGACTAGAGTCATTAAAAAAAAAAAAAAAACAAAAACAAACAATAAAACAAAACAAAAAGAAAACACTGAAAATATGGATCCACTGAAAATCGCTCTCGATTCGGAGGGCCAAAGAAGCTTCCAACAGATGCGAGAGGTCTAATTGACAGGTATCTGCGCAACAATGAGGAGGCAACAAGAATTTAGTGAAAACAAGCCTCACAAGTTTCTGACGCTAAGCTGATTTTAATCGTTTTGTTCCTCGCGCTTCAAACGATCTTGAAAGGCAAGAAGACACAATAACCTCTAGTTGGCTCTACGATTTGCTCAGGTTATTTTCCCTGACCTAACTCAGTTCTTCGAGACTAAAAATTACGGACGAGCTTTGTTTTCAACACACTACTCTCCTCTTGCAATAGAAAATCCGGTGACACCTTATCTCCGCAACGGTTGGGTGCTGTTGTCTAGGTAAACGTTATTCTATTGACAATTATTCCAGGGTTCAGTGAACTACTCTCGTGCCAGTCCCTCACAATTTAAAAACAAAATGGTGGATCGCTGACCTATTCTGAAATGATATTGAGGAAAAGTTATCCCGCGGCGCGTCTAATCGTCGGCATACTACTAGTCCTCGCGGGAACTTCTTTCACTGTTTTCCCGGTATACCTTCGAGGGGACGAAGGGGTGGCCTTGGGTTTCACTTATTATGGTTCTGGTGCATTTGGTGCCTGGGTAAGTTTGTGCTCTTGTTTGACCTGCCTGACTGTGATTTGATAAACCTATTACTTTTTACGTCTCAAATTCAATCGCGAAATATCTTGTAATAGCTCAGTGCTTACTGAATAAAAGAGCTCGATTGCAAAATAGATCGCAAAGCTTTTCGTAGATCGGCAGGACACGTTCTTAGGCGATGATAAATTAATAGAACCATGCGCTATCCATCCGATTGTGAGAGATCGATGGCGTCTAGTCTCTAGACTGGGTATGTTTTTTCTTGCTTTCACTAGTAATATTCTTGTACCTCAGTAAATCACTGATTTACCCATATTAACTCCATATTTTAATCAAGAACCAATTCAGCAGCAATCTGCATGTAAAATAATTTTTCTCGTGGTCTGTGAGAAACTGGAACACACTTCCCAATGACCGAGTGAATATCAAGGAAAATTTTTGAGATCTTACAGTACTGCCGTTTATGTCCTTTCCATCGGAGGGAAATATAAGCCGTATGTGTATATTTTAAACTTTTAATAGTTACGAATTCATTTATACTTAGTATGCGTATTTTGAGCAATGGATCCTTGTTAGAAGCTCAAGGAACGGGAGAAATGCAAATAGATAAGTGGCGTGGTACACCCATGAGCGCTGTAAACTTTGTGTTGTCCAAACTTCCCTAGTGCAACCATATCTCGCTTTACGCAGACATAGCGTAAAAACTTCTTCTAAACCCCTTCTACAACATGGCAGCAACAATTCACGCACCAGAGCACGATCTTCGACGGAATGATAATCAAGGGATCCAATTGGCTGATTAGAAACACGCCACGTCTCGAAGGAGCGAGGACATAACATCATGTTTATAGCAGTTCGGCAATGATATTGGCTGCTTGAATGAATTAAGACCCAGACAGACAAAGTCAAAGTATTCGTAGTTTATTTTATTTCTCGCGCAAGCAGGCCCGTTTATTTTTTCACTAACTGTCAAAAATTAAGTAAGGGCTAGGGAATTGGCATCTACAGTCGAAGGGATCTGAACCATGTGGAAAGAAAAACGAAAACAAAATGAGGTTGCTTTAGTTTTGCATGTTGTACATGAAGTGTACTCCCGTATAAATACAACCAGTCACGGTCTCTAAAAGTCACGCGCTGTCGAGTTTTTGGCACAAATAACTGTTCTTATCGCTGAACTTTTTCAACCCGCTTATTTGTGTCATAATTTACGTACAAAATAAGAGCAAAATTTGAATGCCCTAAAGTTGCATAAATTATTGTAAAAGCTATTCCTATCATCAATCAGTTGCCCAACGTTGCGTAACAGTATTTTAAATTTGCAAAGAAACATAACAAGACTTATTGTCATCACTGGAGCATCATCACAAATTAAAAAAAAAGAAATAATAATAATAATAATAATAATAATAAAATAGAAAATAAAAAATGCTTTTAATTCAAAGAAAATGATCTCATATTGCATTTCGAGGAGTTCATTTGCTAAGTTCACTTTTATATTCTTCAAAGGTCTGACCTGTATTCTGCATCTTTCAATATAACTTTTCATTTAATCTGTCCCTGTTCATTTCACTCCTATATAATGGAGTTGAAAACCTCTGCACTGCGCCTTACTTCATCACCCTGTTTACTACGTTAATAATCTTTACCAAATAACAGAATGACAGCGTGTTCGAAAGTATGTCTTGTTAACAGGCTAGAAAGTATCCTGAAACATTGAATTTATTTAAAACAAAGGTAGTCAACGCTACATAAGCGGTTTTAACGCATGGAAACAATTAAGGTTGCTTCAATATTTCCCGCAGATGTGCTTGATGGGTCTGGTTGGTCTTTGCGGATGCTTAGGGAAGACTCAAGTAAGTTGATAAATACTGCAGAAATAAAGGTAATTAAGAAAATAAAAAAAAGAAAAAAACAAGGCAAAACAAACCAAACCAACTAAAACAGAAAAAAAAGTTTCGAAATAATAAACATGGAATCCAGAGAAGAATAGAGTTTCCATGCAGTTCTTTTTGTCGTGAAGGTTTTGATTAGAAAACTTAAGAATGTGCAAGATCAAGAACAGTTATTCCTTACAAACACCTTGCGTGGAAGATCATCTCGACGTAAAAAGGATGATTCATTAATTTCTATGCAAAGGGGCTTGAAAAATTTGTTTCTTCGTTACATTTCCTTTTCTGAAAACGCAATCCTAATGAAAACAGGCTTAAAAACTAATCAGTGCATTTTTTACTTCAAATTTAACTTATTTTGATTACATCACCAGAGTTATATTATATGCTACTACGGCTGCGATACTTGCACATCAGTGATTGGTTGTGTTTCGATCATATCCATGGTTTCCTACTTATTGGGGAGCAATGAAATTATTTTTGACGTCATATTCGGCTTAGCAATCATTGGTTTACTTTTGGGACCTTTGGGAGCCATCTTTCAATGGGTCAAATTTCGAACAGAACAGGTAAGTCTCAATTTTCCAAGAAAATAAAAGGAAAAAAAAAAGCTAATGGCAAATATATAGAGAATCCTAGGTGTTGAATTGCATTTTATCCATTTGTTGATTAAGGGTAGCATCCAAATGTTCTTAATGTGTATAAAATTTATACCTTGTAACAAATAATGGTTAACATCATCAACCAGATAAACATTCCATAGGAGCTTGTAATATTAGCTATGTTGCAAAGCACGAAATGCTTGAGATCTTGAGCGGTAATCATCTCCTGCCATGTCTAACTGCTAATGAAGCAGCAGCTAAAGCGAAAAGATGAAAAACAACAGAGTGTAAAGCGATGTTTGAAATGATGCATCTCATTCGATCGAGCTGGTTCTTTCTCCAGCGAGCTGTGATTTCCTTGGCCAAAGTTAAAAACTCAATTTCTGCCCAAGTTTATTTCACGCAAAATTAAAAAGTGGGTTCATTTTCCAACTAAAATATCCGCAAGATCCATGAACTAGCATTATTTTCTCTTTCAAGTAGCCTTGCAAAGATATGATAGTTTTCAGTGGACAGAGTTTACAACTACAGTCACTAGCACTTCTCAGACTTGTAATTATGATAGATTTTTATTACATAAGCTGTGGTGCCTTACAATAGTTTTCAGCCCTAAGAAAAGTCCTAACAGTACTGCACACATGTAAAATTACAACAACTCTCCATGTGTGTGTTATATTGCCAGTCAGTTGAAGAAACTTCATCGCCTTTCACACCACCCTGTCTGTTCTCATAAATGATCCTCGTTCTCATGAATGATCCTCGTTCTCAATCCAAAGCTGTTTGTCATGACTTTCTTGGATTATGGCTGCTTAAAGATTCGTATCCCTTATAGATAGTGACACTCAAAAATTCCCAGAAACGGAAGTAAATCAAAAATGAAACGAAAAAACAGACAGTTACAGCCTTGGTTTTGGTGCTGGTATTTCTCGCGGTTTTGAAAGCAAATCGACAACAAGAAATTTGGCCGAGGCCGATTCGTCCTTGCACCTGAGCAGATTTGTTCTGTCGGTAAGGAAAAAGGTAATAACGGAGAATTTTATCAATTGAAAGTTACTCCCATCGTCTGTCTTTCTTATGATTCTACGCAATTTCCGACCATTGTTACGTATATCCTATTTATCTCATTTACTGAAAAAGTCGACTTTTCTGATCACCGGCATGGTGTGGTCTTCCAGTGTTCTGTGCTCTCGCAGGGTTACATGCTCACATATTTCCACGATCAATCGCTCCAGTTGCGATGCATTTAGTTGATAGTACTGTCAAATGAGCTACCCTACTCCGCTTATTGTATACTGTACCTCAGTATTAGTTTACATTGTAAATATCAGGAGCAGGGAGTGGCGAGTGCAACGAATATTGCATCGAATTCAGCTACGAATCCTTCTGCTGGGCAGGTTCCAATTTCTGCGCCATACGAGCCAGGGCACAACACATCACAAAATGATCAGGTAACTATGTGTGTCATCGCTTGATGCCGGTTTTTATCCCCAGAAACTCCATTCCAAGGAGTGCCCTTAATAACAGATGAAATGATTTAGAGATATCTCCAGCAAATGAGAGTTCAGCGATTGTTAACGTTCTTCTGTCATTTCCAGGTATCTCGTAATATTTTAGTTGTGGATATTGGTCCAGATGAGGCGCTTTATGAAAGTGAAGAGCCTCCCCCACCATATGACGTCACATTACAAGACCAAAACGTATGATTTATAAATAAATAGTTATTCTTTATGAGGTAATTCCAAACTTGCTTAGGAATTGCTTTTCCACAGACAGTTAGAAGCTGCGAACAGCCATTTTCATTGGCCCGTTGGATAATGAACGTTGACGACCGTTGTTTCGCAAAATAATATGAGGAATACCAATGCATCATGTTGCTCCTAATCACCAGAAACGACTTTGTAAGGAGTACTCCTTCTCAGAGCGGGTTTTAAAACGGGGGTCAACCAGTGGCTAAAGGCCCTATTACCCTTCTCTGTTTAGCCTACGAGTAGGCTTACATACTTAACTTCCGTATAGGTTTTCACACGAGTGCGTCAAGAGTCGGCAGTTTAAGCCCCAGGGTTGAGCCTCCCATTGTTTTGCGAATTTCCCACCCACGAACGCTGTACTCTAATTGTTCAGAAATGACAGGCAACTTACATATGTATCATAAACAGGTCTCATGAAACGGCTCCTTTTCGATTCCTCGATCGAGCACTTGAATTTACACTGCCGCGTCTCTAAATCTCAAATTGTTCGGGGGTGGGGAAAAGGTGGCATGCCCCAAATGAAAAAAAAAAGAAAAAAAATATATATATATAGAAATAGAAACACTTGTTTCTTCCCATCTTAGAGATGAGGCGACTCTATATAGAAAGAGAAACATTTGTTTCTCCCCATCTTAGAGATCAGGCGTCTCATAGATACCTCCACCAAAAGAGGGTCTCTTCTATGTTATTCTTATGTTCCTAGGTCTTTTGTGATTTTCTACTCGTGGCTACAAACCCAGACCCAAGTGAGGAGCCACCCCCATCGTATGAAGACGCACTACAAGACGAACACGTTAGTAACTAATTCCTTACTAACTATACGAGTATTAATCCATGATTAGCGATGATACAAGTTCTTTCTTTCCTCGGCTCGCTTGAATAACGTTTCGTGTTGCATAATTACAGGAGAATTACTTAAACATGCCCCCCTGGATTACTCTGCTGCTGTATGCGACAAACTCTACTTAGATTCCCACCACTTGTTACAAAAATGGAAGCCCATTGATGGTCTTAAAAGGAGAATCGGCTGACTCCACCGCCACTGCAAAGGTTCTATTCAAATGGCCAAGAAAAGAAATCTGGGAGCAAATTGGAAGAGAGTTAGTCTATACCTCTCAATCTGTAAAGCCTGAATTCTGCGTAACGGCTCTGAGTATAAATATAAATGATGAAGTTCATATACAAAACAGCAATAATACTTGTTGTGTTGCTCAGTTACAGTTAGCAGTCTCTGAAAGGGCGTCTTCTGTTGTGGGAGCAGGAAATGGAACTCGCCAACTTGAGATAGCTCCACCACCCTATGATGAAGATATGCCACAAAGTGAACAGGTATAATTGACAGACTTCTATCAACGAGAATGAAATCGTTGTAATATTGTGACATTTAAACGCCAGGAGCGTTTACGCGTCAATGAATGTTCCCCCTCCTTCCTTGTCTCTAGAATTTTATGTACTTTTAATCAAGCAATGATCTGTGTAATAATTAATGCAATGGTTTTTTTTCCTATAACAATGTTCACTTGTCCTGCTCTCTTTTATCTCTCAAGGACAGTCCCAGACTGTACGTCCTGGTCCATATCTGAAGAGATTGTAATTATGATACGGGCCGACCAAGTTGAGCTTCCTCCCTCTGATATACATTCGAAACGAATGTGTTTAGTTATGGCTTTCAATTAATCTGATTATAAAAAGAAAGATGCGCTGTTCGTAAAATGCGACTTCAGTTATAAAATTTAAGTTATAATCGGTTTGAGCGGCAAATTGTAATTGAAGACCTCGATATCGGATGAAAGACTTCAGCAACCACAGCAGTTTATAATTAATGTCATACACGAATGTCAGTCATAAGAAATAACCCCGTAAATAATTGCATTTTATTACATGGATGTAAATATTGAAGGTAATAGATCAGAAGAGGTAATCTACGCTCCCGCTGGAGAGAATAAGGTTTTGGCCATGGGACTTAACAATAATAATCATAATCATAATAATTATCATAATGATGGGCGAAAGCTATGCGACTACATGTCGTGGATTAGTGCAAGAGTGTCCTTCGCGCTGCCGAGATCAGCATTCCTTTGCTTAAGAGGCTCGTGAGTTCACTTAGAGTTGACTTGGATATTGAAAAAGGACATGCTAATATTTCCTAAGGCTTTGAAAGAGCTATTTCTGAGGAACTCTGGCCAAGGCCAGGAACAGTGATGGGCGAACTTTTTTAGGATTACAAATTTTAATTTTTTTTCCACATTACTATTATTACTTTTTTTATCTTCTTAAAAGTTCAAGAGGTAAACGTAAACAAAGCGTGTATATGTTAGTTTTTTCTTAGATCTCTTATTGAACAATCGATTTCTAAGGATCCTATCATGACTTTTGTAAATATTTTTAGAAATTAGAGTGAATAAAGATTCATCATTATTGATAAGAAATGAAATAAGAAAAATAATAGTAATAATAATAACATCGGATAAGAAGAAGAATAATGATGATGATAATTTTCAAAATTATAATAATAATGTTAATGATAACGATAATAATAATGATAATGATGATGATAACAATAATTTTAATAAGAAAAAGAAGAAGAAGAAGAAGGAGAAGAAGAAGAAGGAAAAGAAGAAGGAAAGAAGAACGGGAAGAAGAAGAAGAGTCTTTATACATAGCTAGTATCCCAAAGTTCCGAGGCGTTTTACAAAGCTAGTGAAAATTAAAAAGCTACTCAGAGAAACAGTCTAAAAGTAACTGAAAAAGACTTTTTTAAGAAGAAGAGGACACTGCCGACTTTTTTTTAAGTTCACATGGCAAAGCATTCCACAGTGTTTGAACTTCCACAGAGAAGGATCTTGCACCTTACATTTTTAAGTTGTACAACGGAGTATGTTTGGATTATGTAAGGGTCGAGTGGCCTGGGTTCGAGATGTGGCCCTGCTTTGGGATTGTGTCCTTGAGAAAGACTCTTTCCATGTCTTACAGGCAGGGAGAGTGTCTTTCTCCACCCAGACGTCCCTCTCTCCCCTGTGCCCTTCTCTGTCCATCGGTATGAATGAGTATCAGAGAACTGTGTAGGAGGCCTGACGAAATACTGAAAGGTACCCTCGTGACGGTTTGTCATCCCATCCGGAGGGAACTAATGATACCCTTGTCTCTATATTCTATAGTTATGACTGCTTGACTTACTTGGCTGAAGCCTCGACTTTCCTACTTAAAGTAGATTCTATAATTGAATTTTATGAAAATTATAGCCTTGATACCTTGGACACATTTTAAAGTGCCCCTGAGACGAAAATTGACCAGTTTATATTGGGCTAATTTGTTTAAATAATGTTGAATTACGTCAAGTTAAAACCCTTTAACGACCAATTTTTACCGATTCAAAGTCGTCCAAAAGATCGCACCCCTTAGCTAAAAACGTATTCCAGCCGAGCCCGCAATCATGTAGCAGAAATCGTCATCATGCTTTTAAAGGCTCAACCTGTAATGTCGAGTTCCTTTGACGATGAATTGTCCCAGAAATCACATGAAGCCTCTCTAATGACAGTTTCGCGTCGGCAATCGATGAGTTTTAAGTACGAGAATAAAGTAAAGAGACAGAACGACACGGACTCCCCAAGTGGCTTTTGTGGTCGCGTCGCTTTATCGCCTTTAAGTTGTATTTTGTTTGTCGTGAGAGATTTTCCCTTTTTGGAGAGGATACCATCAAATGATATATAAAAACTGTTTTCGGCAATAGCTGATTGTGTAGCAAGGTGGAAATTATATTGGGAGTTTGTGAAAGCCATATCCAAGTCAAGCCATCACATTTGGTCAATGATCTCATAAACCCTTTCCTGCGTGATTTTAAGTATCGGTGCTTTGAGAGGTGGGAGTAACTCGCACCATGTCACTCCATAAAATGATTCACGTCCTGAAAATGTTTTCTCTTTCTGTTCTCAATAAAAAAAAAAAAAATCATCGGGCTTAAGGAGGCTCGAAAGGGTTTTAACAATTAACAGCAAGCGCCAATCAGTAAAAGATATCAGGACTGTCAAACTTATCATCAGGATAATAACTCGACATATGCATAACACTATGTTAGGAAAATCTTTTAAGGGAGTTCGTCAGGCATTATCTGTTTCCATGGAAACAGTACAGTAGTGCTAAAAGACCATCTAAAACTCAGTTTTTGAAAGATATCTCAAAAACCAAGTCGATGACCTAGTTTTTTATTTCAAATTTCTTAAACGTCATCACATTCTGTACCCTTATACGTGATATATATAAAAAAAAACTACCTAGTAGAACCTGAATTATTTAGGAAAATGCTGTTTTAAAATGTAAAAAAATTTCCACTAGATATATTTTTTTAAAATTTTCTTCAGGAATGCGTAATGATGTAAATAGTTTGTATAAAATAAAATCAGGGTAGGTCACCGAACTAATTTTCGAGATATTAGTTCATCAACTTAGCAAGGTTTATTTCCGGGTTTTGCAATTCTAGCTTACACTTTTATATCCGGTGGCGCGTTTTTAACTATACCGCTGACGCACAGGCTCATTTTCTCGAGGACGAGTTCGTGTCCGCGTGATTAATCTATGGATGCCCTCAGAGCGGAAAGAAATCGTTCATCCTGAAGATGGATTCACATTGTTTTGTAATTTTACACCTTCCTGAAAAATAAGTCATCATTTAAGACTCAGACTGCGTACTGTTACGACAGTTGGAAATGAACTCCGGAGAGAATTCTCTAGTGGAATTCGATATATGATGACAAGATGGCGCCAATGCCAGTACTCCATTGAGGCCGGTAATGTTGAGTTTCACGTACACAGATTGTAGTGTAACATGAGACAAACCAGCATCTGCCAGCTTCTGGACCATGTTTGTCGAAAGATGAAGCTTCCCATCGAACGTCTGGATGGTATCTTGTTGTTCCGAGAAAATGGCTTGATCGAAGGCCTCATTCAGCGATGCACATGCATTTACCATGATTGACCGATATAATTGTTCATGTACAATTTGAAGTAGAAGAGTGAAAACGAGTCATAGTGAAAAGAATTTGCTTTAACGTCTTCCAGATTGTCATGAGCGTCAAACTCAGTGGAAATTAGGGTTTCGTATACGTCAGTAGTTTGTTGGTCGTCGCGGATTTCACGAATTTCTATAATTTTCGAGGTACTAGAGGTATCAAGAAGACTTGGCTTCATTTTTCTTTTTTTTCTCTTTGCCACTGCCATAACCGTGAACTTTCATTATTCCATTTTAAATGAAAAACAAAACAAATTTTCCAATCCTTTCTCAACAAATGCGTTTGCCTTTTCGTAGTTGTAATTTACAGTGTATCGAGGGAAATATCAACAATCTTTCTCACAAGTTTAAGATGAATAGTTTATTTTAATTTTACCGTCTGTTGTTGAATTAAAATTCATTTAAAGTCTCATCTACATTTTTACGATCCCTTGTTTACTGGAAATTATGTTTATTTTTATAGCAACATTTACACTTCTCCATTTCTGTTCATAAAAATGTCAATGTTTACAATCCTGGATCCAACGATGATTTCATTTTCCTTTTCATCTTCCAGTGAGTTCTTTAGGAAAGTTCTCGGTCATTTCATTTTATTAGGAGTCAACTACAATGCGAAAAAAATCGTAGCACTCAGAGGTATCCACTTAAATTTCTCGCGGAACAAAGCAAGACCTACCAAATGCACTAGACACGACTTTATTGACGGGGTGTCGACTTCACCATCCTCCTTTAGCTTGTTAAATAAAATTTTTTTGACCACTTTCGGCAAGAACCCTGCCATCCGAACATTTTCCTACCTGCTTTCAAGAAGTAAACTTTCCATTTTTGTTTCTCAAATAACCACTTCCGCTGGAAACAATAGAGCTAGAGGTACCCGGCAGTTTTGAAACGCTCATGGCGGCCATGTTTGTTTAGAACTCGCCCGCGGATCTGATCGCGCGCGTCATCGCTTATTTCTCTCGCGTGTATCTTCGAATCCATTCTCCCCGCGGTCAAAAAAACCCTTTCGAGCCTCCTTAAATGATTCAATTTAGGATAAAAGGCAATTTGCGGTCACTCGTACAACCTCAGTAATAAGCAATTCAGAATTCACTAGTAAGTCTGTTGAGTGTCCTTGCAGTTGATTTTTAGCCGTATTTATGTAAACAAGACCAGGTTATCGTCCCTGTTCTAAATTGGTTCTTCGAGGCTAAGAATTTTGCACGAGCTCTGTTCTCGGGACACTCGGCTCTCCTCTCGGAAGAGACAACATGCGGAGATAAACTATTTCCGCACCAGTTGGGTGCTGGGAATTTTTAAGTTCTCGGTCGTTTCAAATTTGGTGATCGGGTGAGTTTGTTTGCTAGAATTGAATTACATACATACATACATACATATATACATACATACGTTTATTGCAACTCCCAAGCTGGGTTTTTCAGTTACAAAGCCTGCATTAAATTATTATCATATATATATATATATATATATATATATATATATATATATATGATAATAATTTAATGCAGGCTTTGTAACTGAAAAACCCAGCTTGGGAGTTGCAATAAACGTATGTATGTATATATGTATGTATGTATGTATGTAATTCAATTCTAGCAACCAAACTCACCCGATCACCAAATTTGAAACGACCGAGAACTTAAAAATTCCCAGCACCCAACTGGTGCGGAAATAGTTTATCTCCGCATGTTGTCTCTTCCGAGAGGAGAGCCGAGTGTCCCGAGAACAGAGCTCGTGCAAAATTCTTAGCCTCGAAGAACCAATTTAGAACAGGGACGATAACCTGGTCTTGTTTACATAAATACGGCTAAAAATCAACTGCAAGGACACTCAACAGACTTACTAGTGAATTCTGAATTGCTTATTACTGAGGTTGTACGAGTGACCGCAAATTGCCTTTTATCCTAAATTGAATCATTTAAGGAGGCTCGAAAGGGTTTTTTTGACCGCGGGGAGAATGGATTCGAAGATACACGCNTACGTGCCGGAAGGGAAAATCTACTTGTCCCGGACGACCGGAAGGGGGTTTTCTCGAGCCCTGCAAGATAATAACTTTTAACTAACCTCTGAGAATGGTTTACAATATATTCTGTTTTCTTGTTTCTTACTTGCAGATGATTATCACAGGATCGCTTGGGATCCCAAGAAGAAGTAACAGAGAAAGGAACTCATCAAGCCAACCTTTTGTAAGCTGTTATCTTTCATTACAATCCACCCGTTAATTTTGGTGCGATGTTGTTGGTTACTTTACGTCACTTGGTGCAAAAACACAGGACAGTTATCAGGTAATAACCCCCGTTCCCGTCAATATTTGTCCTCCGATTTTTTCCGTGAAAAAGAAACATAGTCAACACAAGAGTTTCAACTTTTCCTTTCTCCCATTTACATGGAAGGAAACCAAACAGTGACAATTGAAATGATTTGATTTTTTTCGAGAGACCGACAAACATTTCTTTGT